CTGGGCTCCCTGGGCTCGGGGGCGCTGGCGGGGCTCACGAGGTCGTCGTTCAGCGGGTCCCTGATCACGGCCTGCTCCGCCTCTTGGGGGCTCTCCTCCTCGCTGCCAGAAAGCAAGCAGGAGAGTGAGCCTGGGGACCACCCCATGGCTGTCTCGGATCCCCCAGCTACGAGGGGACCCTTGAACCACCCTGGCAGGGCTGCCACGGAAAAGGAAGCCGAAAGGATCTTGGGGAAAGGCAGCCCAGGGACTCGCCCCCCTCAGCAGCAGCAGCAGCCACAGCTCCTTCTCTCTTGCTCTGGCCCGGGAATTGTGAACCAGGGCCCTCCCCTCCCCTCCCCAGCATGTGCTCACCCACAGAGCGTGTGGCCTGCTGCTTCTTCACCAGCAGCCATGATGCTATATTCAGCCGTGTTGCTGAAGGGGAGGTTGACCTGCTGGGGGGAGGAAGAGGAGGAGGAAGGGCCGTCCGCTAGCGCTGGCTCTGCATAGGCCTCGCTCTGCTCCATCACATGCAGCGTCAGCACCTTGCCCGGGGCCTCCTCTCCGCCAGGCTGTGGCTCCGAGGCTTTGGACAGGCCGTCCGCCTTCACCACAGACACCTGCAAGGACGAGGCCGCATCGGGTGACTGGCCAAGCAGAGCCTCGCTTGGGCCAAGCCAGATCCAGCGCCAGGGAGAGGGTGAGGAACCCGACCGGCCAGCCTCACCTCCAAGGTGCTGCCACCAGGCAGCTCTCGCTGGCTGCTCATGTTCAGCAAAAGGTCCAGCGCCGTCTGCGTGGCCAGTTCAGCCGAGCCCTCCACATCTGGCCAGAAGAGGGAGAAGAGACTGTCAGATACAACGCCCCCCCCCAAGGCTCCCCCCATCTCACAGTCACCTACAGGGAAGAGCGCCATGGCTTTGAAAGCACAGGCCACTCAGGCGGCCAGGCCTCTGAGGGTGTGTGGCTCCAGACACCCGTCCTTTCTCACACAGGCAGGATCGGTGACCATCAGCCAGCTGAACGAAAACGCCGCCCCTCTGACACCCCAATCCAGGAACAATCGGACAAAGGGCCGAGAGAGCTGAGGACATCCGGGAAGCGGTTCGAGAGAGGGAGAGAGGACTAAAGCAAGGGGGACCAAGCCCTCGGCCCAGTGGGCGGAGGAAGGAGCCCGCGCGCCGTGTTGGATCCAGAGAGCAAGGGGGCTTCTCACTGGGGCAAGAGAGCAACCCCTGGCCAGCGAGGTCCTTCTCTACCAACCAGGCCAAGGCTGACTGGCCAAGATACAGGCACACACACACCCCGGACTCGGAGGAGTATGGCTTTCTCCCCTGGAGGGTTGGCTGGGGGTGGGTGCATGGCCCGGCAGCCCCCTCCCTCCCACCAGCTGAAAGCCTCCCAGTATTTATTGCCCCTTCCCAGATGAGAACACACCTGGCTCATAGATGATGGTTGCTCCCTCCAGAGGCTCCTGGGCAAGGACGGGGGTCTCCGGGGGAGGTGGGCTCTGTGCAGGCTGGTAGGCAACCTGCTAAAGACAACCAGCTGAAAGCAGGTGGAGTGGGGAGGGGGGGCACAAGGCAACAGGTAGGGTGGGGTGGGGTGGGGTGGGTGGCAGGAGTTGGGGGACACTCACGGAAGGGTGGGCCCCCGCCGCCATGTCGACGGCCGCCTGGCCCTGGCTGTGCTGCTGCTTCAGCTCCTCAATCTGCTGAAGGGTGAAGAAGGGTCGGCGCCGGCAGGGGGGCTCCTCGGGGTGGCGGTGCACCCACTCCTCGAAGTGCTCTGCGTGGCGGCACTGGATGTGGAGGCGCAGGTTCTTCTTGTGCTTGGTGGTGAAGTGGCAGAACTCACAGGCAAACGGCTTCCCCCCTGCAAAGGGCAAAGGCCAAGGGCTTTGTGGCTGCCCAAAGGTCCGGCCGGCCGGGATCTGAAGGGCCGGGAGGAATGGCTGCCTCCCCCCTCCCCCCGCAAAGACCTGGCCCTTCTCTCCCCCCACGGCTGTCGTCAGGTGCCAGCCAGACTCAGGGTGACCCCATGAATCGAGACCTTTCTGAAGGTCCTGCTGTGGACGGCCTTGCTCGGGCCAGGTCACCTCCTGACCGCCGTTCCGCTTCTCCTGCACGGGGAGCCCCAAGGGCCCTGGAACTAACCGGATTGGGCCACCGGTTCAGAAAGCCCAGCTTTTCCTCCCTGCCAGAGTGGCCCACCCGCCCCGCGCGCTCCCCAGCAGCCAGTGCTCTGCCTTCAATCCAGGTGGGAACACTCGGCCACCACAACTAGCAGCTGCTTATAGCCTCGGCCATCAAGACTGAGGGGCCAGAGAGACCGAGAGGGCAACCTCTCGAGATTGACCCTCTGTGGCTGCCCGCAAGTGTTCACGGACCTTGCCCATCCCTGAATTCAAATCCCCACCCACCCCAAATTTCCCCAGTTTTATACAGATCACATCTTCCCTGTGGCTGCCCCTGCAGTGTGGAACGGCCGATTTCTGGGGAGGACTCCTGGGGGCGGGAGAGGGACAGAGCCTTCCCCAGAGAGCTTTCTCTCCCTGCTGGGGGACGGAAGCCATGGGCTGGATGTGGGTCACCCCAGGCCCACAAGCTGGCCTCAGATGGAGCCCTGCAACCTGCCCTGCGGAAAGATCACATCTTCCCTGTGGCTGCCCCTGCAGTGTGGAACGGCCGATTTCTGGGGAGGACTCCTGGGGGCGGGAGAGGGACAGAGCCTTCCCCAGAGAGCTTTCTCTCCCTGCTGGGGGACGGAAGCCATGGGCTGGATGTGGGTCACCCCAGGCCCACAAGCTGGCCTCAGATGGAGCCCTGCAACCTGCCCTGCGGAACNGGAAGTCTTCGCGGACGGTGGCGTAGGAACAGAGGCTGCAACGGAAGGGCTTCTCGTTGACGTGCAGGAGCTGGTGGTTGAGAAGCAGCTTCTTGTCCTCACAGACATGGTCGCAGAACTCACACTTGAACCTGCCCGGCAGAAAAGCAACGTTTCAGCGGCTCTGCGGGGCCGTTCCTGCAGCCCTGACCCCCCCACCCCACCCCACCCTCAAAGCAATCCCGTGCTCGAGTACCGGCGGTTGGCGACAGCCTGGATGTGGGTCAGCAGGTGCATCTTGAAGGTGTAGCGCTTCTTGAAGGACTTCCCGCACTGCAAGAGAGTGAAAGCAAGGGCCCCCGCCCACATCTTATTGGCTGTGCTTCTGCCCTGAGACTCATTCCCCACCCCACCCCCGTGCCTTGCCTTTGCTCCCACACCCACCTTGTCACACATGTGGGGCTTTTCGCTGCTGTGGGTCTTCATGTGCTGGGTGAGCCGCTTCTGCATTGGATACACGCGGTCGCACACGGGGCAAGGAAAGGCACTTTGCTTTGGGGGCTAGAGATGGCCGGGGGGGGCGCGTGAGAGAGAAATTGAGGGAGGGGGAGAAGAGGGAGATTACACTCTTGCACAATCAGGGTGGCACAGCTGGCTGGGGAGAAAGAGTTCCACCCCACACCCCCTAGGAATCGGTCTGTGGGGCCTGCCCACTGAGAAAGGCAGCTGCAAGCTCTCTGTCGCCCCCCGCTGTGTGGGAAAGACCTCCCCCCCTCGAATTCCTTGGCTTCTTGCTCTCCTTCAGCCCATCACAGGGTTGCCGGGAAAGGCACCACAAGGACAACAAGACGGGCCTTCCGGCCTGCCGGAAACACATCCCCCGCGGGAGGGAGCGGAAGGGATTCCTCAGGCGGTCCCACTCACCGGGTCGGCTCGCTTCTTCCTAAAAGGAGGGGAAGCAGGGGAGAGAACAGAGGGATGAGCAAAGCAGCTGAAATACCTGCTAGCTCAAAGCTTTGGGAGGGGGGACCCAGGGAGTCCACACATCCCCCCCCCCGAGTCCACGTAAGGGTCTGTCAGGAACTCAGAAACCACTCCCTCCACCCACCCTGACCCCGACTGAATCAGGCCACGGTGGGATGGAGGCACGCGATGCTCACCGGTCACAATTGTGCACCACAGAATGCCGGATGACGTCCTTCTTGTACACGCTGGTGTAGTCACACTCCTCGCACTTGTACGGCTTCCTCCCGACGTGGTTGAACATGTGCTCCTGCAAGGGAGGCAGAGCCAGTCTGAGCCTCCAAGCCCTCAGCTGGCCAGCCAGGCNGGGAGCGGTAATTGCACTGCAGGCAGCGGAAGAGCTGGGGATCCCCGGCCTCGTGCGAGTTGACGTGGAAGCGCAGATCGTCATGGGTGAGGAACCGGGAGCCGCAGATCCGGCACAGGTAAGGGCGCATCAAGGGCTTGGCCGACTTGTAGCAGTACCTGGAAGAGATCCCGAGGTCACTCAGGACCCAGGGGCCAGCCCGGCCTCGGCCCCTCCATGAGCGCAGCCGCCGGAGCCCGACACAGACAGGAAAGACGCACCGCTTCCCCCCCACCCCCCGCTTACCTCCGCCCCATGTACTTGCGGTATTTCTTCCCCAGGAACCGGTGGGAGGGCCGGCCTCGACGCCGCGGGAGCACTTCCGGTTCCTCCTGGGATGACGGGTCCCGGTTCTCCGAGTCCGACTGGCTCACAGTGGGGTCCACGAGGCGCTGGCCTTCTGTGGGCCCCGGGTCCGAAGAGCTGGCCGCCTCAGAGCCCTGCTGCACTTGCCGAGGGCCCCCCTGGGACGAGACGACCGACTCCTCTTCGCCACCTATCCGAGGGACGCGGCCGGGTTAGGGCAGAAAGGGCCGAGGGACCCTGGGCAGAAACCCTGCAGTGCAAGGCCCATCCACTCCCCGTTTCACAGATAGCACCGTCACCCGCTGGAGGGGAGCCAGGAACGGTGGAAAAACAGACCCCGCAGCATCTCTGAATTGCGAGACTGTTGTTTTAGACCTAGCTTACCTTACCCAGGGGCCGGCACACGGGCCTCGGCAGAGGCGGTGTTTGTGCCACCCTGCAAGGAGCAGCCCCCTACCCCCACCCCCAAAGAATGGGTGGCCATTGTCTTTCACCCCTCCCTGTTAATTTCTACGTAGGCAAGGGGGGCTCGGAAAACCCTTCAGGGTGCACAGATGGTGGGAGCCCCTCTGCCTTGGGAGGGGGCCGCCCATGCAGGCAGCACATGATCTCCAAAACGGCCATGCCCAGTTGGAATGGGCCGACAGGGCTGGCTCGTGTGTGAGAATAAAATCATGTTCGCCTTTGCTATTGTTCTGTTATGCTGTCTCTTGTTGCTATGCGCCATTGAGTCGCCTACTTAGTATTTTTTTGGGGGGGGGGGAACGGTTAGAGAGTCCTTTGCATCATTGGCATTTCTGAGAGCCACTGATCCCATAAACTCTGAAACACACTCGTGGTTTTCCATTTTCACCAGAGTGGGGCGTCCTGGGGTAGCCGCTTGGATGCTCTGAGAAAAGTAAGAGAGTCCTCACCCCAAAGAAGAGAATGTTATGAAGGGCATAAACTAGGCTGGAGAGTTTAGTCTGAGAAGTTGAGGGGGGGGGGGAAAGGGACACGTGTCCTCCTTCCGACCTTCTCTACTGGAACTGCTGCCTCCCATCCCACCGGGAAGTAGGCGGGAGATGCAAAACGACCGCGGCAGGCTAGGACCTAAACGCAGGCTCAGCAGGGCACATGCTGCCGAGCACGCCAAGCCACGTCCCTGAAAGAGGCTGAGGTTTTCCTGGAGGGACTTCTGAGCCGGTTGGCTTTGGCCTGCTGATTCGACAAAAGGAGCAAACACCAGACCATAATTTTTTAAAAAATAATTTAAAGGTAGGAAAGACCCCTGGAACAGATGGATTAGGCCCAGAATACTATAAAGTATTTAAAAATATCCTTATACCGAAATTAAAAGAGTTATTTAATAAGATACTAAAGGGAGAGAATCATGGAAAGAATCACTTATAGTCTTAATACTGAAACCAGATAAAAATCCTGCAAATATGGATGCCAATATCATTGATAAATCAGGCGCTAAGATATTTTATATAGTTTTTTTTCTGTAGTAGTAGGTTTATTTTGTATTATAAATAAAAAAAATTGAAAAAAATAATTTAAAAAGCAGGGGTAGGAGTGGGGGAATAAACAAGAGGGCTTTGGGCAACGTTGGAGCTACAAACCCTGACACCGGTTTAACGCACAAACTGCAAGAACGCTTTTGACAAGCAAGCCACTCTCTCTGAAGCCCTGCAGAAACGGCTCTTAACCACAAGATATTCTGGCGTCTCCACAAATCAGAGGTGACTTGAGGGTCATAAGAACACCACCACCAGGAGGGCTGTCCCTGCACAAGGGAGACCATCCCCTCCCCTTCCGCAGCCTTTCTTTTTGGTCCCACCACACCCAGACTGTCCCTCAGTGGCAGGTGAGTCCGAAGGGGCGTCCGGCCTCGCTGAGGACAAGCCCCCGAGGAAGCCACCCACCCACCCCCACAAGCGCCTGCCTGCCTCTCCCAAGCGTTACAGCTGGCGGCCGCCTCCCTTCATCCTTGGTGTCCGTGGAGAAAGAGGGACGTCTGGCCGAGGGGGGGGAGGCGTGTGTGTGTGTATGGCTCAGGGAGCCGGGCAGACCCAGCCACCCGGCTGCTCCTCAGGCAGACACAGCCTCCTCCTCACTGGGAGAACCCTTTCGGGGTCTTTGGCTCCAGCGGCAGAGCTCTGGAAATCTACTGGGAAGCTTGGTACCTCTCCAGGGGCATTTAGAAGCCCGCGCAGGCACACCACCGTCCCTGGGCCCTTTGCGGCCCCTTCGCCGTCTGCCCAGGGCCTCCTCTCTGGCAGTCCCACCCGGTGCACAGTCCCCGGGCTGCTCCCTGGCCTCAGACCCAGAGTGGACAAAAAGGACCACTTTCTTCTGTCAGAAACCCCCAGCCGACGGCCACACAGCCGCCCGAAGCAGACTGACCAAAGGAACCCCCCCCAGGCCCTCACTCAGCCCTGTGCATTGCTCCTACCTTCTTGAGGGGAGGGGGCCTCCAGGCGGGGGAATTTGCGGGGCCTTCCTGGGCGGCGGCGCAGCCGCTGCTCGCTGGAGGTGGGAAGGGGGCGGCTGAGCTTGGCCAGACGTCCTCGGGACTCGTCCTCGGCCGGGTTGTAGTCACTGTCATCTGCGACAACGAGGCGAGCAAGAGCAGGCTTTGAGAGGGGAGGCCACAAAAAGGGGTGGGGTGCCTGACAGAGCCAGGGAGAGAGGTTGTCGTGAAATACCTTTGGGGTCATCAATAGCACCTGCGTCCACAATGTCATCATCATCTTCCTCTTCTTCTTCCTCCTCCTCCTGCTGCTGCTGTTGTCGTTTCCCCTGATCTGGGGTCTTGGGCACAAGAACCCTCTTGCGTGGGCGTCCCCTTTTGGTACCAGTGGCTGTTGCTGGAGGAAACGAAAAAAGACGACAGCAACACTGCTGGAGAATTCTGGTCAAGCAAACAAGTGGCCGGTTTAGAAGCAACGTCGCGTCCACTCGCCATGGACCAGGCGACATCCTTGAGGTAAGCCAGGCCACCGCGCTGGGCGCAGCCAGGCCGTTTAACGCACCCATGACTGGGCACCATTCAACCCCCCCGCCCAACACCCCAGCCGCGCATCAAAGGAGCCGTGGGCGCTCTCTTGCTCCTTCTGCGCAAGCCCCCAGACTCACCAAGGGCTCCTCAGAAGCCACGGAGGGGGACGAGAGAGGGGGCTGGGGGGCCGAAGGCTCAGCCCCCCTCCTCGCAGAAGTTGCTCAAGCCTCCTCGAGAGCAGGCCGCTTCCAGCCGCCCACCTCGGAGAAGGTCTCGTGGCTTAGTAGGTGGTCGGCTTTGGGGGAGAGGAGCAGCCCTGGCGGGGTGCCGGCGGTTTAGCCTCCCCTGGCCAGCCGGTCAGGGCCACCCACCGGGGCCAGAGACACTCACCGGACTGGAAGTGCCGCTCCCGCATGTGGTGGATGAGGGTCTGCTTGGAGACGCTCTTGTACTGGCACATCTTGCACTTGAACTGCTGCACCACCACCACCTCCATCAGCTCCTCCAGGCTGTCCAGGTCAGGCTCCCCCGAGGGGCCCGGCGGCCCAGGCGGCAGCTCCGCGGCCTCCAGGGGCACCGGGTGCTCCGCGCAGGTGGAGGTGGGGCCGTCTGCCGGGGACTCTGCCGCCAAGCTG